AACGTTGTTGCAAAAATTAGTTTCACAAGATAATGAAAACACATGCTTTTGGGCACGTGTTGCGAACACCTCCAGAAAAAAGGCTAAGTAACTGTTTCTTGCCCAATCGAACTGCCGACCTGCAGAACGCCCAGGGGAGGCCAAGATTAACCTGGTACAAAAATATGGAAGGAGCATGTTCCAGACTCCAGTTGTCTTCTGCTGCATCTCAGACTCTGGCACAGGATCGGAAACGCTGGAAGCACTGTCTGACACGTCTGCCTCCGCGACCCGAAACAGATGCGGTCAAGGAAGATGAAGATGATGAGGATGAAAGATGCTAAAGAAGCACGTGATATGATCACTGGGGCATGGTAGTTTGCACATGAATAAACCATATAAAAATGCTGGAAGATCTCTATTCTTGCACACAGTAATCTTGAAAAGCAGACAAATGCAACATAGAAGACTGGAACAGAAGTGGAACAGGAGGTTAGAGAAATGTAGAATTTCAGATCTGCTGTCACCGGAGTCCTAAACACAGTTAATTATGAAGATTAAATGGATGTATATGGCAATTTATTGACAGCGAGTAAGCTGTCGGAAGAGGAAATTTCTGAAAATGTACAGGAATCTTGGTGTAATGCCGATATGACATTTGAAGATGACGATGAAACAGCTGCTGAGTCACCTAATGAGAAATTTCGCTGTGAGAAATTTTAGACATGCTGAAAAAAGTTCATGCGCATTTGTCCTCTACTGCTAATATCCCAAAAATATTTTTTAGCAGTTAAATAGTAACGACAGTTTCACTTTTAATTGTGCCACTAAAATATGACAATTGAAAAGAGCGGACTTTTTCATCCAAAAAAAAACGCTTGTGATGAGTATCTGCATTTTCATTACTATTTTTTAAATAAAATATGTTCAGAATTTCGTTTCTTTATTCAGTATAACGAATTAATTTGCATAGTCCCGAGTTTCGTCATAAATGAATCTGACCTGTATGAGACGACACCTAAAGAAGATCAGGCATCACAAATCTACCAGTATCTGCTGATAAAATATAATAAGAGTTAAGTAGCGATAGCAACAGAAAACCATGCAACCAAAGAACAAGGACAGAAAGACATGCCCTCTGCGAGTAATTTCACTGCAGTCGAAGTCATATGTAACAGACCTCAAAGGATGTCTCATCGGCCAAGAGATTTAACCCTCAACACACCTTAAATGTGTCCACGTGAAAATAGTAAGGCACCAAGTTCAAGAATGACAACATCTATTACATACAACAACGTGCTCCAAAACAGTACGTATCTCCCTCTTCGTTCGCACCGTCCCATTTTATATTTTCCCTGGCCCACAGCGAGGGCTAATCTGCGCGTGTTCCGTCAAATTTATGCAAATCGATTCCGGTCCCCGCCTTCCTGCAGTCTCTGTCGCGTGCTTCACATCGTTCGAATGTCACGCAAAAGCTGCCGCATGTTTTCGAAGAGTATCTAACAGCTTTCTCTTGCGCGAAGAAGACTGATTCCGGGACCAAAACACGCTCTACGTTTCTCAGGATAATTTCAGGAAATGAAATTAACAGCTTCGGTTTTGTTTTTCATCATGAACTTGAATGGCTGCCACTTCTACCTCCATCCCATATGAATAATCCATGTAACTGCCCTATGACCTCATTATTCTTCCGCCGATGTTGCATTTAAATTTAACAACTGAATCACAGTTTTCCTTTGGCGTATTACAACCAACATTTGTACTGCCACTACTTCATTTTTTGTCAGTCAAACAAATCCTTCGTTCGCTCTAATACTTCGGAAACCGCCGGATATGTCCCCTCTTGCGATGCCTTTGCCGGTACATTACACACGGAATTTGCAGTTAAGTAAATTTCCCCGCCGGTTCTTACTTCTCCCAAGTTGAAATCATGGATCAGCTTTTCCTATCTCAGTGGTCAGGCTGCACTGATCTGGCTGAAGACCCTGGAGCAGCTTTGCAAAGCACCGCTTTAGTACATACATAACGAAGTTCGCGCCCAAAATGCAGTCATATTTTGCATGAGTTATCCGAGCTTCCATGAAGGTTGGGATTGTTGTCATTCCCTACATTGCAACCTCGAAGTTCATCGTTCCAATAACTGGTATATTAGTCCGATTTTACGTCAGAATAAAGACAGAACATTTGAGCGCTGGCTGTCGATTAGGGAAGCGTTCCTGAACAAATTCGAGGGTTACAACAAACGACCAGGATTACCGAGGACTCAGTGTCAATCAGTGCTCCAACGGGAATTCTGTCCGGCTTCACCTCACAGACTGGAAGCTTCTCTGCTAGCGCCTAATGCACTGGTTACTCCCTTACTTTGCCCGCTGGCCGGTGTTTACTCCAGTGGCCTCGCCAGGGTTCCCGAATACAAATTTGAGCTTTACATTCTCTGCGCCTCGCCTCTGATTTGCAGACATTGAGCAATGAATTGGCCCGCTCGCCCACAGGCAAAATACACACCCCTGGACTTCGGATGAATCGGCTGACGTTGCCTAACTGATTTCTGGAGCCTTGACTGTCCCAGTTCTTGCCGTAGTCACTTGATTTCTCCCCAGCGGCTGCTCCGCCTAGCTCAGTAACTTATCGATGGAGCTGAGCATTATCCTCGGCCATGGTATGGCAGCGCGCTTCTTCGGAGGAGCTGCATAACCCTCAAGACAGCGCCATCGAAATCAGCCGCCCCATGATCTAAAAAGTACTGCCTCAAAAATGCGATGGCTTCCCGTCTATTCGTTCCTCTCACCAATGCGTGGTACATTTCTGGACCCGGCAATTGTCTTGTTATTTGCATAACCTGGCCGTCAACTGACGAATCTGTTGCGAACCATGTGAAACTATCACCCCGATGCTGCTTCATGTTAAATAATTCACTCCCCAGATGCTGACAGCTTGAAGTCATACGCCCGCTGCAGGAAGTCATGATAAGCTAGACGGATTAAAAATGGACAGGGATCTCTGATGCTCCCAATATCACCATGCTCAATGCCGGTTCTCCGATGTACCTGAGCACAAGCTGTGCTTGTTCTCCCAGCGATCGTCGTCTGGGCTGGCATATGAATGCATTGTTTTTCTCCCGCCATTCCGCAAACGAGAGCCATCTCTCATCGCTATAACACATCTGCAGAATCGAGTAAGCTCTGGAATCAAGTAAGCCATCACCGGACTTCTTCGACTGAATGTGACAGGTAGCGATTCATGCTGGTACTCGGCAGCTGTGATTAGCTTCCCGTCTTCGTCCTCTTCGATTGTTGACGCAATCCGCGATCGAGCCTGCGACTCGGAAGTGCTGACCTTATCTGCTGCGCCATTTGCAA